GCCTACGAGCAAGCAACATGGGAAAGAGATGATATGGATATTGCGTACTATGACGAAGCTATCAATAAGTATTGGATACACAGGTAAATATGCCCTGCTAGTGTATATTGATGCACATACATTGTCTTTTGTTTATCTTAGAGAGAAAATGTTGGGAGAGCCAATCCCAAAACACATTGCGAAGAAGATAGCTGCACAGCGTGAAAAGAAGGGACTTCCTCCTCTAGAAGCTACTGACGAGCCTATGTGTAAAAAGAAGAAGCGCGAAAAGCCAACTGTTGACGTGAGATTAACAATCAACTGGGTAGATAGTTCCTCCATTACATGAGATTTTTGATGTAGATCCGGAAGAAATACGAAGAGCAGCCCGATTTTATCACAGAAACGGGAGGAACGCTCCATCCCTATCAGTTGGAGGGTGAGATTCCTTCTGTTCAAAGTAAGGTAATATGAGTTCTTTATTATATATTAGGTATCAACTGGTTGCGGCATTGCTGGTCAAATGGAACTGATGCGATTCTTGCTGATGAAATGGGTTTGGGTAAAACTGTGCAGTCTCTTACGTTCTTATACTCCTTAATGAAAGAGGGTCACTCCAAAGGACCTTTCCTCGTAAGTTTCCCTTCCAAAGTCATAAATTATATTTCTTTTCCATTCAGCGCATTTATAGTTTTGCCTGACCTTTTCATTTTGGAATTAGAAGCCGATTTTAGTATTTTACATTGCTATTCAATTAATTGGATCTGTATTTACATTTATATCCCCTTTTTAAAGCCATTTCCAGATCGCAGCACCACTATCAACTATCATCAATTGGGAAAGAGAGGCCGAACAATGGTGTCCTGACTTCTACATCGTCACATACGTTGGCGACCGTGATTCGAGAATGGTTATCCGCGAACACGAATTCTCCTTTGTTGAAGGAGCAGTGAAGGTATATTTGTTGGCTTTCTATTTCGAATGCCTCACTGCAAGAGTTCATGACAGGGTGGCCCTAAAGCTTCACGTATGCGATCGCAGGAAAATATGAAGTTCCATGTTCTTCTTACATCTTATGAATGTATCAATATGGACAAGGTCTGCCTTTCAACA